TGAACACATGAACACATTGAACACATTGAACACATGAACACATTGAACATATTGAACACATGAACACATGAACACATTGAACACATGAACACATTGAACACATTGAACACATGAACACATTGAACACATGAACACATTGAACACATTGAACACACTGAACACATGAACACATGAACACATTGAACATATTGAACACATGAACACATTGAACACACTGAACACATGAACACATTGAACATATTGAACACTTGAACACATGAACACATTGAACACATGAACACCTGTGAACCAACTGTAATCTAAAGGTTGCTGTTCTGCTGGCCAGTATCATCTGGCTTAATGAAAGGTGTACGTGGAAGTTGCATGTTGAAAAATTAGAAACAAAATGCAACAAAGTAATTAATTTAATGAGAGCTATATCAGGATATAACTGGGGAGCAGATCAGCAGGCATTAATAGATATATTTAAGGCATTGATGAGATCAGCAGTGGACTATGGATGTTTTGTTCATGGAGCAGCAGCTAAATCACACTTAAACAAAATTGAAAGAATACAAAACAAAGCCTTGAGACTCTGTATTGGTGCAATGAGGACAACTCCAACTAATGCCGTGCTGGTGGAATCAGGTGAAAGCCCACTAGAGTTCAGAAGGGACAAACTCTCATTAGCATATTGGATTCAGTTAAGAGGATGTGGGCATGAAAACATCGCAAGTGTCATAAATGAATGCTGGGAATATAACAGGTTTAACGGAAATGGTTTTGGATGGAAGATAAAAGATAAAATTGAAAAATATGGCATTAAAGAAATTTGTTTTAATTCCCCTTTGCCAATAATTATTGTTCCTCCATGGCGTTTTCCTAAGGTTAAAGTAGGTTTTAGTATTATGAATCTAAAGAAGGATTGGGTGGAAAGGGAAATAGGACATTGTGCAAATCAATACATAAAGAATCATTTTTACAGTTATTTACAAATATTTACTGATGGCTCAACAGATCAAAATGATCGCGTTGGTTCAGGAGTTTACATCCCACTTTTTCAAATTCAACTGAGCAATAACAGATAAATTATGAGTTTATTCAGCAGAGATGATGGCAGTCATTTTTGGCCTTCAGTGGGTGGAGGAGGTGAGACCAGACAGGGTGGTGCTGTGTGGTGACTCTGCAGCAGTGTTACTGAGCTTACAGAATATGAAGTGACTCAGGGAAGATTTAATGTATGAAATTCTTCAGTGTCTGTTCAGAGTTCAGAAAGTGGGGATTGAGGTAGAATTTTTCTGAGTACCTGCCCATGTGGGATTAAAAGGTGATGAGTGTGCAGACAGAGTGGCAAAAAGAGCACTTAGTATGAGACATGTAACTGATATTCCATTTGGAAAAGGTGAAGAAAAAGCACTAATCAAAAAGAAAATATCAGAATTTTGGCAGAAGAAGTGTGATGAGGACAGTCTTCTTCTTCTTACAGAACACAAAGCACAGTCAGAGCACAGAGGTTGAAGGGAAGAGGTTGTTCTATCAAGATTAAGGTTTGATCACACTGGTTTAAATAAGACTTTATTTTTACTGGGAAAAGTAAACTCACCAGTTTGCACACATTGTAATATTATTGAAAATGTTGAACATGTAATTATGTACTGTAGTAAATATAACGAAGAAAGGCTGAGAGAGGCAGGACGGGACTGGAATTTGGCAGGGATACTGGAAACTAAGGGAGATAAGGTGTGGGAGATACAGAGAGAGGTAATAGATTACCTACATAACACTGGTTTGTTTTATAGAATATAGCTGTTGGCGTTTCTTTTTTCTTTACTGTTTTTTTGTTTGTTTTATTTTGTTTTGTTTTGTTTCTTTATTATTTATCCATGATATAATGTCATGTAAAACTAGATCCTGTCCTACAGACCTCCGGTTCAGTAGGTGGCCGTATGTACCTTTAAAGTTGGTATTGCAATCCGCCAGAAAATACGAAGAAGAAGAAGAAGAAGAAGAAGAAGAAGAAGAAGAAGGAGGAGGAGGAGGAGGAGGAGGAGGAGGAGAGTAGCGGAAGTTGCCTTAGTGTTTCCGGGTCTCCCAGACGGAGCGCAGTTAGCATGTGTTAGCATGTGTTAGCATGTTAGCTGAGTGTAAACCAGGACACAAACAGAGTTCAGTCGACTTCAGGATCTTAAACTTTGATCCAAACGGCGGCTCGCGACCATCTGAGTCATCGATAAACCGGAAGTCCCACGGGAGACGGATGTGTGATGTGTTGTTACAGTGCGACATGAAGCTGCGGAGAGAAGCAGGTTGGTTTTCTGTCTCCTGATGGAATAACTCTTCTTTCATATTTGAACCTGACGTCACTGCTGATGACTTCATCAGCTGTGACGTTACAGAGCTGTTCCTCCAAATACAGCTGAATAAAGTCTGATCTAATGTGTCGTATACTGCAGCAGGTATTTCAGGTGCTAAGGACACACAGACAGCTCGAGATGTCCCCTCAGCTTCAGACAGTAAAACTCTACCATTCAGTGAGAGCTCTCTCGTCAGACACAGATTGAACTGGTTTGTGATTTGTTCCACTGCAGGGTCCAAGTTTAAGTTACTGTGACATAACAACACCTAAATATGTCACCGTATTCTTCACAGGGAAACCATTCACTTTGCTTTAGTGGTCATTACACAGGTTTGTTCAAGCTTTGATCACCTCATAGTAGACAAGGAAATAGTGGTGTCGTCCGTGGTGTCATCAGTGGTGTCATCAGTGGTGTCATCAGTGGTGTCATCAGTGGTGTCATCAGTGGTGTCNCGTTTCCTGCCGTAAAGCAGATTTTTTCTGTGAAATTTCGGCACCAGTGGCAGAAGCTTATTGCAAAGATTGCAAAGCCACTAAGTAACCTATGTAAACACTGATAGTCTGATTTTATTGTGGACACTACCCTGTGCAACCCACATTATTTTCATCATGAGATATATTGGCAAAAATGCTGTCTGTTGCCTCTTTAACAGAGCTGTTACACCCAATATACAGTGTTTTAACCGCTTTCGGAAAATGGCTTCAAAACTAGTTTTAAACATAAATTGGTGACTTATCGTATCAAATGCTTTGTAAAAATCAAACTATCATCCAGTATATATTCATTATAATCAGTCATATCTAGTATTAATCGTACATTATTACATATGTTTCTCCCAGGCACAAAACCAGATTGTTCTTGGTCAATAATATCATCTAATCCTGATTTTAATCTTTTAGCAAAGACCATGGCAAATATCTTTGCATCGTTATTTAACAGACTAAGTGGTCTCCAGTTCTCAATACTCAGTTTATCTTTTTTTGGTTTAGGGATCAATTTAATAAAACCTTGACGAAGAGTTGGCTTCTTCAAATACAGCAACTAAAAATGGAGCTAATGTCTCACTAAAGTCTTTATAAAATTCACATATTAACGCATCATTCCCGGGAGATTTGCCAATACATTTTTGTACCTCTGTTAAACTAACCCTCAGGTCACACGCAGTTTTAAAGCCGTCATCAATACCTTTAATGTCCTTTTCAATATCTTTAAGAAATAAATCAGTGTTGTCTTCATTTTCAATGTCAGCATCATATAATTTCTGGTAGAAATCAGCTATTTACTGGGAAATATATTTTTCATCTTGACATACCTGGTTATTAATTTTAAGTTTACAGAGAGATGATAACTCAAAGCTCCTTTTCCTCAGACATTTTGTCCAGTTCGAGTTGTAACACTCAAGATTCTTTCAGTTTTTCTCCAGACAGGCTTAATGTCTCTGATAGTATTATTTTTGTAATTATCTGATTGTCTTTCTCTATTTGCTTTAGCATTTTTTCCCAGATGCAATAGCTAACTTTTTAATGTCATATTTTATTGATTCCCAATATTTTCCAAAACTGTTAAGTGAATTTGATTGCCTCCAGTGTTTTTCAGTTATTTTTTGGACTTCATTTTTTAATTGCGTATTTTGTAATAATGTTTTATTCAGTTTCCAGTAATCTGTATAGAGTTATAATTGCTGCCATATTGACCTGAATTGTGACAGCCTGATGAGACTCCACTTTATCATCTGTGTCTGAGGAGATCAGCCAGAAGTCTATACGAGATTGTTGAGATCTGTCCTTATTACTCCAGGTATATACACTGCCTGGCCAAAAAAAAAGTCGCCACCTGGATTTAACTAAGCAAATAGGTACGAGCCTCCTATTGGATAATTACTGCATGGGCGATTATCTTTCAGTTGGCAACAAGTTATTTAACCCCAACTGGTGCAATGAGTTGCTTCTCATTTCCTAAACAACCATGTCGAAAGACACATCCCGTGGTCGTGGAAAAGATGTTAGTCTGTTTGAGAAGGGTCAAATCATTGGCATGCATCAAGCAGAGAAAACATCTAAGGAGATTGCAGAAACTACTAAAATTGGGTTAAGAACTGTCCAACGCATTATTAAAAACTGGAAGGATAGTGG